ATTAAAAAAAGCATTTTTTTTTACTGAGTAATTTTTAAGCTAAAATTTGTTTTTTTTAGTAATATTTTATTTGATCCAGTGATGGTAAATAATTAGGTTATTTGCTTAAATGACTAATGATCTATAATAACTGGTTATTATGGTTATTCAAATTTTGGGTCATTCGCAAATAACTCATGACCAAATAACATAGGTCATTTTAAGATAACCTGGGTTATTTGAGTCATTGGGTCATTATGTATAATTATAACACAAATTACCTTATAAAAAAACAAAGTTAGTAGTGTATATACATATCAGTTAAATCAATAGCGATATAGGCAAAACTTATGCACAATATATTGATATACATGCCAATAATCATTTTGTATATAGTAAAAGACAGTCAATTTTGTATAAAAGAAAAAGGATACATAGTAATTGTCAAAAATAATAATAATAAATATGTTTTTAAGGCAAAGCAGTTAAATTAAATTTTAATTAAAAGCAGAGAAATCAAGTACCTTGCAATAATTATTTAATGATAATTTTCTTGTAATAGAAGAAGTTTACTAGAACCTACCTATACAATTTGAGCTTTTTTTATTCATGTGTGATGAATAAAGCTGCTAGAAACCTTTAAAGAAGGCTTGGCGAAATTATAATTCACAAAATAAAACAAATAAAAAAATATAGTTCAAATAAAAAAATAAATAAAGAAATAAAATAAAAATAATAAATAAAATAAAAAAAAAATTAAATATTATATAAAAAAAATTGGATCATTTTGGAGATATTGTATAACTGTAAATGCGGAATATGTATTCTTTTCTTTGCAGCACAGACTCGCTGCTGAATAATATATTCGGGTCTTTTGTAAATTTTTTGGTGGGTATTTTGTATTAGACTCCGGGTCTTTTTCTCAGTGCTCTACGGCAATTAACACACTCTCTAATATATTAATAATACTAGATAGTAATATCCAATAACAACATGAAGATAGAATTTAAATTTAAAATGTTAACAAAAAAGCGTATGTTTCAGTAGGTTTAGTGTATCTAAATCGGAGCCCAAACTTAGCCTCAGTCAACTTCGGCTTTAACCCTAACGTTTATTATTATTATATCCAGACCTGAAACTAGCAGATTCTGTAAACCGGATCCAAAGTAGTTTCGGCTACTACAAACTAAATTTGAAGCAGCTTTATCCACTTCATTGATTTTTAAACACTAAGCAAAACTTTGAATCTGTTTCATCCGATGTTTGATTTTGGTTAATAGATAAATCCTGTAGTTTCTCGAAAAATGGAATAACCGCCAACTTTATTGTATTTTCGAATAAGTGAGAAATTACATGTGAAAGTCTAGTGCCCGTTTGCTTAAAATCAGGAAACTAATTTACAAAAGTGTTAGGTAGAGATCATTATTTTCAAACAATGATCGATTTATTAGCTTAAACTTACAGAATTGGCTTCCAGCAAATAAACGTTCTTGCTTGTGTCAACTAAGAAGTCAAATCCGAATAGTTCAAATGCATTCTCCAATGGCATGAATTGCGTTGGTTCGCTCACAACAGCTTTAAAACACTCTCCAAGAATATTCTTGATCTGTTCGAATATCAAATTCAAATCTTTCTCGTCTACCTCTGAACTATGTTGCATCAATTCCCAAAATAATTTAACTTGGTCGGATTCTTTAAATAATTCATCATGTATTTGTAGGCATGTATTTGTTAAATGTGCAAATGTATCGTTAATGTCATCAGGTCTATAATTATTAAGTGCAAAAAGTGCCAACATATCCTTGTAAAGATAAACCTTGATTCTTGATACCGCAAGAACATATGCACGAATATGAAACTTTCGACCATTTATTAAAAGTGGGTCGGAGATGTACCTTTGTATGACCCATTCACGCAAATGAAACATACTTTCATCAATTTCATCATTTTGTAATACATTCGCGTCGATATCATCGTTTTCCTCAAAGGTTACTTCAAAAACTGCTTTTAATTGATCTATACTATCGAAAATTTTTATATCAGCACCTTTATTACCCAGATTCGGTTTTAAGATGAATTGATGTTTTCTTTCTCGTGATTCATTTTCTTTGCATTCTTGGACAACTTCAAAAATCTCATCCAGAGCTTCGTCGATGTAGTCTACATGATCAATTTCAAAAAACCAGGTTTCTGGAATTGATTTTTTTAAGCAAGAATTTGGATATTTTGCAACATGTTTTTGAATATTAAAATTCATTTGAGCTTTTCTTATAAGGCCCTTTGAACGTATAACGAATAATGAGAGATTAATTAAAACATAACATTTTGCAAGATTAGTTACCTTTCTGATACAATAAGAATTTGCTAAATGATTCTTAGTATGTGTGAGAATTTGAGAGAAGTCGATGTCTTCATATTCTGACCAGAAAAGAATTGGAGCATCATGAAGACTTGGCGCTGATGAAAGGGTATAATGCTGGAATATTGGAACGATGGTTTTAAGTGAATTAATAATTATTGATCGAGTGTATTGATCTTGAATGCCAATAATTGCCACTGGTAGTTGTTCTGACGATTTATTTATTTTCTGTGCCATGTTTCTCTGACTTATTCAAAGTTAAATTTTTTGATTTTAGATAATCACAATGAGAGATTATGTCGATTAGTGTAACACGATATGCCGTGTAACAATTATGAACTACCCACTCTAAAAAATTTCGCTGGCCAATCAGATTTCAAGATTAGGTTTATCATAACTTAGCATTTTACCTATTAAAAAATACCTATTAAAGTTTTCTAATAGCAAAATCTGATATTATCAATCAATAATTGTTACTCATTTGAAGCTATAATTTAATTTTTAAAAGTATACTAGATACTGATAGTTTGAATTACGTATAAGGCAAATTATGCGGATATTATGCCGGATCATACTACAGTCTTACCTCTTTATAATCACCCTATATAATCACATTATATAAAAAACTTTTTATATAATCACACCTATATTTAACAAAAAACCTCTATCAAGAAGCATGGTTGATTGGTTGTCGATCTTTAAAATTTCATTGGCTGCTTATAGTAAATGTTCTATATGAAAACTCAATCGATTATATGATAAGTTGCTAACGAATCTGATTATATTTGCCAGAAGCAAGTAGTATCGAAGAATATAATTCCTTTAAAATTTCATTACCTGTTTGCTATAAAAATTTATGATTTACTATTCGTAAGTCATAAATTTATATAGCAAACAGTTGATAAAATTTTAAAGGAATTTTATTCTTCGATACTACTTGCTTGCTTCTGGCAAATTTAATCAGATATACAGTATATGCTTTTACAACATTTTTTTAAAAAAGTTCTTATACTGTATATAATCCCAAAAGTGTGATTATAAAGAGGTAAGACTGTATACCAGTCGCAAAAGTATCAATTTTTGAAACTACATTTTTGATAGATCTACATTGCACCCTAAATTTGAGTTACGTTCTTGATGCATTTTTTTAATATATATAAAATTCGCGCAATTTTATTGGTTAATCAATTGTAACGATACACGACTATTATTTTTAAAAT